CATGGTCCTGACAAAGTGTTGTTATTTTTCGGGTCAATCAGAAATACAATTTGGCTGCCATGGCCGCTATTTTGCTACTAAGTTCTAATAGGCCGATCTCACTTAAAATTGGTCTAGGAATGATCAGCTCATGGTCCTGACAAAGTTAAGTTAACATTATACTATTTTTTACTCAAATTGGTACATATTTCAACAACAAAAATAAATACTGTAGACTCAGGTGACCGTTTAGGCCCATGGGCCTCTTGTGTAAATACCTATTCTAAACCTAAAAACAATTTCTAATAGGTCGATCTTATTTATGTTCGGTCTAGGAATGATCAGCTCATGGTCCTGACAAAGTTAAGTTAACATTATACTTAACTATTTTTTACTCAAATTGGTACATATTTCAACAACAAAAATAAATACTGTAGGACTCAGGTGACCGTTAAGGCCCATGGGCCTCTTGTTTGTTATAAACATTATATTGGTTAAATGGGGCTATCGTTCTTGGTGCAGATTTTTTTCCTTTGTCCATGCCCTACCATGGCAACAAAATTGCATTGCTATGCAGAAATAGCCAAAATATGGTGTTTTTGGACAGTTAGCATGCAGAAATTGAATGCATGTAACAAACAAAAATAACTTACTATGAATGAACACTGGTATAATGACAATGTTGAAGAATGTCAAATATTTATTTGTTTGGTGTATTGCGGAGGCTTTCAAAAATTGAAGAGTGTTCAGTTAATTTCCTACAAAATGACCAATTTTCCACCAAATAGTGCACAACAGACAATATTCACCCTATTTATTGTAAAATGCAGGTTTATGTCTCTCTTTGTAATGCTATATTTCCTAAACCAGTTGTCAAATGATTTTGAAATGTCATACTTGCGTTCTTGATTTATTCGAGATTACCAATATAACAACTAATTCTAAATCCCAGATGATGTGGGAAATGACCCTTAACGCCTCTAGTCCTTTTACACCCGAGGATATATGATTGACTCTATTAATCTACCTTCTGACTTTTCATCAGCCAGCTATGTATTTAGTTATTGATTATGTCTTTGACCAGGTGCTTTGAGTGTGTGAACAATCCAAAAGCCATTCTGTGTTCTTGGAAAACTACAGAGGCTGAATGTGTGGACACGAGTAATAAACAGTACAATGTAAGTTATTTAATGTAATCATGTTGCTTATGATAAGGGAATGATGATCATTAATTGAGGTAAGTCAGATAAAATTCAGTGACTGATACAAACGTTCTTATGCTCACAATCATGTTATTGTTCACCAAAGCATAGATTTTTCTTATTTTAACTTTAAAATGAATTTGTGAGAGTTTGCATTACCTTCTGTAATTTGTGAGTGTTAACATTACCTTCTATAATTTGTGAGAGTTTACATTACCTTCTATAGTTTGTGAGAGTTTACATTAACTTCTGTAATTTGTGAGTGTTTACATTACCTTCTATAATTTGTGTGTGTTTACATAACCTTCTGTAATTTGTGAGTGTTTACATTACCTT